CCATCACAGGCCCGGAATCATGGCCTAACCCAGGTCTCATTCCTCTCGATCCACCAGAGTACACAAAAAGGGCTGGGAGGCCAAGAAAAAATAGAAGAAAAGAGCCAAATGAAGTGGCATCAAGTCAGTCAAAGAGGCAAAGGAAGACTTCTTCGAGCCAGTCAACTACAGAGACATCAACTCCAAGGACAAGATCAGGGCTGATAATGACATGCAGGAAATGTGGTGAACGAGGGCACAATACTCGGACCTGCAAAGGGGCACCACCACCAGCCCGGAATTAGGGCAAATGCTTCAGCTTCTGTCAATTTTTTTGGTTTTTTGTTGAATAAATCAGTGCAGATGGATTGAATGGTTAAGGTTCATTCATGACATTAGTAATTGCTCTAGGATATGCTGAATTGTATATGTTTTGTTGATGTTTTTGAACTGGACAGAAAGTCTACTGGTTTTTTGTTTAATTGACTGCAATAGTATATGCTTCTTCCTATTTTGTTGCTGAGTTTAGATTATTGGGTTTGATTGTTGAGTGCTGTAATTGCTATATTCGGTTATTGAGCTTTGTTGTTGATTATTGGTTTTGTTGTGTTCGAAATGGGTGTTGGGGACAGTAAGCTGCAGGTCAGAGAAACAGGTTTCTGGGTTATATCCGGCGGGGATGTTTTGCACAATTTTTGACAAAGGTAGGGATGTTTTACGCAAAGACAATGTGAAGGTAGGGATGTTTTGTGCGAATAAAATGAAAGGTGGGGATGTTTATCGCAAAGACAGTAAGAAGGTAGGGATGTTTCTCGCAAAGACAATTTCATGCTAAATTGGGAAGACCCATTTATGTTCATCATCTTCTTCATTCTTACTCAATACCTCCATTCACAGAAGCACGTTGTAACTGTTCTTCTCACTTTATCCCTTATTTACACCCTTCGTAAGCATAAAATGGGGATAAAAATCTTCATTTTATCGACCATATTCAATCCTCATATACCCTTCCAATTTATTTTTTTTTAGATTTACTACAGGCACGATGAAGTTCAACCAAAAAATACAGTGATTTCCTTACCGATAAAAAAAAAAAACAGTGATTTCCGCCGGCATTTTTCTTATTTTTTACAATATCCGTGGAATTAATTTTCATAGGCAGTTAGTTATGCCTACCATTTGAAGAAGAAAGG